TAGTCAATTGAAAATGAAACCTCGATTAATGCACTAAAAGAAGAAACTGACTTACCTTAGATATTTTTATACAGGCAGTAGCTACTCGATAGATCTCCAGGTAGGAAAAGCGATAAGAGTAAAAGTAGCGGGCAAAGCAAGCAGGAAACTAAAACTAAACCCAGCGTTCAGAGGTGGACCACCATCCTGGATAGAAATAAGATCCAGAGGAGCAAAAACCGGCTTGACCAGATTTTGTATTCAGATGTCTTTCATCTTGTTACCTTCCGGTTCCGGTGATTCCAAAAAAAAAATCCTCGTTATTTATGAGAGAGTTATTTGTTTTTGCGTTGGTGACCCAGATTTCACCTTAGGATACCTCCGGCCGCGCTGCAGCTGGAAGTATCCTGTACGAAAGGCCAAAAGTGACAGAAATGTAATATATGTTGTCTTATTTAATATGTATTAGAAAATCACGTGTATACCTTACAGTGAAGTTAAATACTGGTCGGAAATTTGGCCATTATTATAGTATAGGAAATTGACACTTGTGTTAATTATTTAAGGAATTTTAATTAACGCGTACTGAAGGAGAAAATACTTTCAAGTAAAGGAAGTTGGGTGTACAAAATAGTGTGAAACATTTCAAGATGAGGGAAATTTACGCAACGTAGCTCGACAGACGGAAAAAAACACTTGTGCAGACCACCGATAATCCGAAATGCAAACATTGTTCGTTCAATTCGCGGTAAATTTATAAAGCTTTTATTAATGTACATAGGTTTATTACGCTGTCTTAAAAGAGCTGTTTAGCAGCGAGATACAAATAATAGTAAAATGAATCTGGGAAGTAAATTAAAAACTGTTACAGTAAAAATCATGATGGAAAGAGAAAATTGAAACAAACGATAATAATGCGCCGATCAATTCGGATCTTCAACACCCCTTCCCCTGGGAACCCTCCAAGTATTTAAAATTCTTATACACCCTAACCCCGTGAATACGGACTCTGAGGGAGCCACAGAAAGTGTCCGTATTAAGGCGGGTTGAATTTACAGAAAACTGTGAGGGCTTTCTTTTCCCAGGGACAAGGGACGCAGTAACAACAACAACAATATTTGTGTTTATTTTTACAGTAGATGGTGTTGCATAAAAAAGGAAAATGATATAAAGCTAAAATAGATTAATAACTAAAGAAAAGTACCTCCCCCTAAAAAGATATTTAGAGTAGATTAAAAAGTAGCCTGTTCCAAGCGTTCAGATAGTGGAGAGCGGTGCGAAGTAAAGAAAGCGATGAAAAGTAGAGGTGGATTGGGGAGAGAAGTGCTCCTTTTTACTTCGCACCGCTCCCCACTATCTGAACGCCTGGAACAGGCTAATTAAAAAGTAGGGTAAGATTCCCTTGGGTTAATAGTACAATTGTGGTAAGGAAAACTGTCCATCATCACAAGGTGTCCGTATTAAGCGGTTGCTCAGGTGGGATTCGACTGTATGTTAAGACAGACCTGTTCAAATTCCCGTCCTTTTACGCCAGTGTAGTGATCGAATGCCCTACCACAGTGTAGGATTTGACTGTCAGATGCCCCTCCTGATGAATTCTGGTAAAAAATTGCATCCATTGGCTTTTGAATGTTCTGGACGTCTGGAAACATGATGAGTCTGGCTTGTCGTGGCTTGTATCTCCACAGGCAGCCCAAGCGCACTATGTGTGGAGTTCGGGCTTCAGAGGTCATTTGGTCGGAATATACTAGAATTATTAGTGTATTATCTGATGCTAAATAAACGCAAAAATCTTAAAGATATGAAGTCCTCTTGTTTGTCTATCTGCACTAGTAGCCTTTAAGATAATGAAGGTCGATATTTCTTGCATTATTACATGTGATTCGGGCCCTTAAGTTCGAATTTTATCACATGTATTCGAATCTACAACGCTAAGAAAAAAAAATCATGATCACGCGAAATATTGATTCAAAAAGCTCCCTTACCTTTAGTTCATAGCCACTCTGTGTCCTACTGCCGGTTTAAAAGAAGGGAAGGCTGGAGACCTTCTTCCCTTCTTTTATAGTGTTCAGTACTCGATGGGAAGAAAGTCGACTAAACGGCGTTTAAACCGGCCGTAGGACACAGAGTGGCTATGAACTAAAGGTAAGGGAGCTTTTTGAATCAATATTTCGCGTGATCATGATTTATTTTTCTTAGCGTTGTAGATTCGAATACATGTGATAAAATTCGAACATTAAGGGCCCGAATCACATGTAATAATGCAAGAAATATCGACCTTCATTATCTTAAAGGCTACTAGTGCAGATAGACAAACAAGAAGACTTCATATCTTTAAGATTTTTGCGTTTATTTAGCATCAGATAATACACTAATAATTCTAGTATATTCCGACCAAATGACCTCTGAAGCCCGAACCCACACATAGTGCGCTTGGGCTGCCTGTGGTATCTCTCGATGGTCATCAAAACTGTAGTGTTTTATGTATTTTTGAAGGCAATGATATTAGGGTTTTGGTAACTTTTTAAAATGTTCAAACCACGATGTAAGTCTCAGTTGCCTTAACAATCTTATCGTAACAGAACAATGCCTGGCTGTTCCTGTACACGGCAGCTACTTTGTAAAGTTTCTTGGGAGCCCCGGATGGTAAACACCTTGACCGATAAATTTACTTGATGTGGTGGCAATTGAAAACTCAAAATTTAAAAATCCTTTATACTAAGAACATTCTCGTTTTCATACATTCCCGTCAAAAATGTTGCATAGCTTTTGTAGTTCTTTCGTTCTTAGCCATTTGCATGCAAACAATCTCTTGATGCAAAGCAACCACAATCGTACAAAAATCAGTCAAAGTCCCCACCCCAGCAATGTCGGGAAAGAATAGTGGTTAAATGCCCACGGTATGCCCCAGGGATCTTGAAGTTTCTAACTATCCAGTGTATCAAGGTAGAGGACGACGGGTTTTTAATTAGCCTGTTCCAGGCTCTGAGATACTCGGGTCCGCGGGGATAAAGAAAGCGCGAACATGAAAACAAAACGGGAGGAAACTTCCTTTCCCCCCCCCCTTCCCCCGCCCCCCTTTTCGCGTACCTTTCACTTTAGCGTCTTCCCATGAGAACCTGGAGTAAATTATTTAATGACACTGTAGAGAAACACGCACCTTTTATTTAAAAGAGAGTCTGGTCAATTCAGCTTCCCTGGATCAATGTACAGATAAAGAGAGCTATGCGAGTGAGAAACAAGTTGTAAAAAAATATCGTTGGAGCGAGGGCACCTGCGAAAGTTAGGACGGGAGGGGAACGAACGCGGTAAACCTTTCCGACTAGTTGTGTGCCAAGCGTGACAAAAATTTTGTTTGAAAAAACTTAACGCAATAAGGGCGAAACAGCTGTCCATGGCTGCCACTGCCCAGGTGATATGGCTGTGCGCATGCTTTAGGTACTGGCCAGGCCCTGGGTTGGTGGGTTTCCCCCTTACTTTTAGTTTGCCTCACTCTGACAACAGTTCATCAAGTACCCTAAAATTCCGAAAATAAGCCCCGGGCTCGACAGAATTCATCTTAAACCTCATCACATAATCTTCATGATGTTTATAACAATAACTTTCATTAACATTGATTCACTACAACACCTTGAAATTTCAAGAGAAACCTAGCCAAAAATCCGCGTTTCAACATACACTGTTTTAACGTTATGCTAATTTTTCCAAATTGATACCCATCACACATACCTCCATGGCTAGTACATTTTAGTATGAATTTTATTGCATATTTTGACAATATTCACATTGAAATGTACTAGCCATGGAGGTATGAACAATTTAATTTGAGTTATTTAGAACTTTTTTATTAAACATTTTATCAGGCTATTGAAAATATAAGGTTTGAAATATATTTGTGTTTTATTTGAATTCAAACGTACAGAATTTTTTACTTCTCACGGAGGTTATTTGCTAAACACCACAGTATAAGTTCCTAGTGTCGGACTTTCAGTAGCAGGTCTTGATAGCGCAAAATTCGGATTTTACCGATTTCAAAGTTTTTTTGTTTATTGTTGTCATAGTGATATCGATTTTTCTTAAAACTGCATTTTAACAAACTTCAATTCATTGTCAATCACTGGTGAAAAGTTTGTAGCGATCGGACTAGGACAAAAGCACTTTTAAGGTGATTAAAAAACATCGGTATCGTCTCCCAAAAAACTGTATCGAAACATCATATAGGCCTATAATAAATCAACCCTTTGCCGCCTTTGCCGTACGTAGTGCCAGCCCTACATTCAGTTTTGTTTTAGCAATATACTGTTACGCTTTTTGACTGCAATCATAATTGGCACACCTAATATTTATTTGGGAAATGCAAAAAATGTATGTGTTACTGTACAGTTGTAGCTTTGTTTTATTTTGAATTTGAGGGCAATTTCCAATTTCCCGGGGGCTTATATTTGGAGGGGTACTGATACAACGGAGGAGTTTTGCGTTATGAGTTTGGGGGGCTTATATTTGGAGGGGCTTATACATGGCGGGGCTTATTTTCAGAATTTTACGGGAAACATGACCTTGGATTCAGACGTGCGCAAAGCCGCGCAAGGTTTCAGTAATCGTAACATATCGGGACTATCCGGGAAAGTTCGCCGGAAGTCGGGACATGTCGTAGCATCTTACGTCATTGCGGACACAATTCTTCGTACGAGCAGCGCATAAAAATTTAATTTGCTGCTGTCTTTGACGTTGTCGCTTTTTCCACCATCTTGGCTTTGGGAATTCCATCCAAACCATCCTAAGCAATCTCGCAAGTACAAGAAGTTTCACAAATTTTAAGTTAAAGGACAATACCTCGAGGAAAATATTATCCGAATTTTTACCGGTGTTCAAAATAAGTTTGCAGGAGTAGCGCTGTCAAACGTCACGAAGCTTGTCGCCTATCCGCCATATTGAGTTTGCACGAAAAAAATTGACGTCGAAGGAATTTTGCAAGTTGGGGTTTTTTCACCGCTTCTCGTCTTCATGAGTACCTATCCAGAATGTCCGACAGGTTTGGGCTTAAAGTAAAGGAAAATGCGGGGAAGACGAAGTATTCTTCACTCAACTTAAACCAAACATACAAAGGAACTAAAGTCGAAACCAAGACATCCTCAGGTTTGATTTTCTATTTTATTTTTTTACTTCCAAGATCTGATTTTAAAAAGGTTTGATGTTTTGTACTATACAGAACACCGCTTTTTCTTTAAGCGATTTTTAAGGCAACTTCTGATCTCGTTTGTGATGCTATCCATGGGTCTTTCAAAGCGGCTTCCGGTTTGGCGGTTTCTTCGTTGTCTTCATATGTTTTTAGTAACGATTTACTTTTTATACATAAAAACTTCCTTGAAGCTAAAGTGGACCCGTTTCTTTCTCCAAGGGGCCGCTCGCCATGGGCTTCAGAGCCTCGGAAAAGTCGGTGCAAGTCGTCGAATTCCACCTCCTGCGAATCTCCCGTCTTTGAAGAGCGAAAACTCCGGCAACGATCCTACAGTTTCTTTAGTTCCTAGCGGTGGAGGAGGATGGGGCAGCACAAAGGAGAAACCAACGGAGACTCCACCAGTGGTAACTTCACAAGCAGCACCTCCGAGTTCCACATTGTCGCAAGCAAATGCGCCAACTTCTCAGCAGCCGCTATTGCAGCCTCAGCGGTCTATACCGCCGCCATCGCATCCACAACCTGTTCAACAACCTCAACCACAATCACAAACTTCGGGGCAAACGCAAGCACAACCGGTCAAACAGCATCAGCAAGAAGCTCAAGCGAAAACATGGGGCAATATATCGTCAAACGGGGCTGGTGGTCCAGGTACGAATATACTCGCAAAATGTTAAGTTGTTCGTATCTTTCTGTTTGATGTTGATGGTCTAATTTGCCAAGATGACATACGTGATGCTTTGCATCGTAAATTATACATAGGAAGTAATTTTCTTATTCTGTTCTGTTTTATATTACTGCTTTGGTAAACTCTGAAGTTTGTTCATTCGTGTGAAATAAAAAGTCTCGCAGGATTTCGTGTAATGCAGTTAATTGAAATTTGTGTACTTGTATAAAACGTATTTACATTTGTCATGACAAAGAAGCGAATTATGCATGTGGTACGAAAATTAATTATTATCATTTCTAACTTGATGGACTTGAGTATACATATAGATTGGATAACATTTTAAGAGAAGAATATTCCTGTCCAATCTGGACAAAAGCAGTGCTTTCCTCTGAAAAACGGCTGTGCAATTCTAGTATTTCTCAAACATTTTTACATTTTGGTAATTCTTCCAAGTTTTTTGGAGCTTAAGCACAGCATCATTATTGTTTGTTTGGGTTTTCATAGTGAATTACAACATACAGGCTCAAGCATTATTTTCCACTCTTAATATAACTCTGTCAACTCTGCTGACCAGCATGTGCAACACTGAATGTGCCACTCTTTAGTACCAGGGTTGTGCCCTAGCGGCACCTGTTGGCCTTTGGCACATTACTTTTGCTCTCCAGGGAGGTTAGGAAGTCTTGGACACTGGGCACCCTGCAATTCACAATTTTAGAGCACTGAGCATTTGTAATTTTTTTTTAGAGCACAGCCTTTCTCACTGTTTTAGTACCACCAGGGTTCTCAATAGATTTTTAAGTAGGAGGTGATCACTGATAAAGTAGGAGGCTCTTCCGCAAAGCCAGAGGTGTCAAAACAAAGCAAAGAAAAGCGACTTAAACACAAAGTAAGCGGCTATAAATCCCAAAGTAAGCGGCGATCAATCGCCGGGTGCCGCCTTCTATTGAGAACCCTGTACCACACTGAAAATATATGGGCATTTGCAGTAAAACAATCAACTTCCAAAATGATTTGATGTTGTGTAAGTTGCTTGTTACATTTCCCTGTTATGTTTTGTCCTGCTGCTGCCACACATGTGCTGACAATGACTAATACTAATGTATTCATTCATGTATTCCTTTCACATTTGTTTTTGCAGAGAAAACCTACTCTCACCAGGAGATGCCTTATTTCAATCGGGAATTCCCAGTGTTGGGTGGTGGAAACTCGGGAGAAAGGCCTCCACCTCACATGGAAGAAAAAGACCATTCACAGTATGGTCCAAGACCTATGATGCGCAACATGCGTAAGCATTTTCTCCATTTGTTGTAACTAATTTTCGCTAAAATTCAGGAGTTATTCTCCTTCTCTTTTCAAACAGCAATGTGAAATACATTTCATGTCTCCTTTAATAAGGCGATTTTGACGATGGTATCATTTTACTGCTACTACTAGAAGCCTTCAGGATTTTGCTTGGAGGGCATTTGGTGTGTAAAATCTCCTTGGGATTACCAAACTTAAATTTGAAAGAAAGAACATAGTGAATTCTAGTCGTAGTAGTAAAAGACGTCATCATGCACAAATTCTCCAGACCCATCTCCGTATAGCCTGACAAAACATTGCGATGCCACCACTGGTTTCCCCATGAAATGAACCACCACCCAGATCTGGGTAGTGAACAGCATCAGTCTGGAAATTCTTCGCTCCTTTCTCAGATGTCAAAAGAACTGTGGAGAGAATTTATTTAAAGATCAAAGCATTTTTCGTTGTGAAAGGTTTGAACCCAGGAATCATTTCAAAAGTAGGTTGAGTTTGATTGTCCGGGTGAACATAGTCCTGAATAGGACTGTTGTTGTTGACAGTGACTAACGTTTCAACAACCTGTGGGCTAGTCATCTTCAGAGTCAAGTGAGTTGTATCACGTTAGTTGATGGTATTATACTCTGGTTATTGACCTTATTGGTCAATTACGTCGCAATGTTATTGGTCATCTGCCAGTTAAGCTGTGATGTTATTGACTATGAAGACTCATAATGTAATTGGTGCGTTTATTGTGTATTCAAACAGATGTCTATTGTTAGTCAAATTGTCAGTTGTCCAGTCATTCTCTTGTAGGTAGTTTTGCTTGATCTTGTCAATAAGTTGTTTGTACGGTGCTGGTAGCTGTTGACTATGATTCAGTGGCGTTTGTTCTAAGTTAGTAAACCAGCTTTCTAAAGTGAGTCGTTGATACTAGTCCTTTGGTCATCGCTTCATTAATTCTCACAACCTTTTCTCTTGAATACGTATTGATGTTGTCAGAAGAAAATTAATGTTGGTCGGTATTGGGATTTAAAGGGTGAAGAGCAGCTATCCATTCTACAAACAAAATGGATCAGTGCTGTTAAAAAGAGTATTTCTGAATTCTGAAATGTGACGAGGTTTTCAAAACGTGTGCATTTAGTTGATGCATAAAGTGTCATGCAGATATTACTGGGCTGGAAATTCTGACTAGACTGGCATAATAATTCCTAGTTACGTATCTTACAGTGGTGTCAACTCCAGTTAATGCCATTTAATATTATTTTCAGACGAGCCACCATGGATGGAACGCAGTGGTCCAGGTATTTAGTGCAAATCTTTTACACTCTCCTCTCCCTGTTTTAACCTGCCCAAAAAGATATATGCCAGTGGTCATGCATTGAACTTTGTGAATATATATAAGCCTTGTTTACAAACACCTGATGATGAGTATGGTTCTTTTCCTGCCTATTAACCATCATCGCATTCATAAAATTTTATTTTCAATGCATGTTTTATTCCTTAGTAAAAAGTTATGATAGTCGTGTAGTTTCCCTGACATGATTTGACTTTTTATAGGTATGTGCAAATATCAGAAAAATGCTGTTGGTAGTATCTTCTGTGGGAACACACAGGAGATACTGATTCAAAGGCGGAGATGTATGCCTTTTCATTAACACCATCTTTCACCACTTTCTTTTTGTGGGATAAAAATGAAAAACTATGGCTATGTTGCAGGCTTGATGGAAAGCTCCTTTTGTTTTTGTGGTGGCCTAACAAAGTATATTGTATATATTGTATATTTCCTGCTTTGGCTCTGACAAGACTTGGCATTTTAAGGCAGTGTTGGTCTTTGATTATTTGCAATTCATAGAGTCATGATTTTTTTAAATCCTATACATCAAGGACTTTTAAAGGGGTTAAACTTCAAGATACATGTACATGTACATATTAGTGATGAAATTTATATTACCCACTAGCTGGATTAGACTTGGTTGATTCTCAATGTTTATGTTATACAGTACCATTCAACAGTAAGTTGACACTCCATTGTGAGTCTCAATTCTTGACTTGATTCTCGATTACTGTGCGAGCCAAGAATCGAGAATTGGGTCGAGGATCGAGTCTTGCAGAACACAAACTGTACACTGTAAAACTGTACTGTATGTAATTGATGTAAAGAATCAGGTATGTTATCACTTATATTTACAATCCTTATTATGTATCCCTTTAGAGTATGGTCCTGGCAGAGAAAGATCAGATGTGTACAATGGAGGACCAGGCCCAGGCTATGCAGCAGGACCACAGTACAGAAGGCCTCCTGAATATCAGGTTAGAAGTTCTCTTAACAGTACGAACTAGCCTTTCAATAAAAGAAGCAAAGACAATGTAGTCTACAATGTCACACTTCTAAGCAGCTATCTTCTTTGAGAATTGATTCTTGACTTGATTGATTTCTCAAACCTCAGTCTACTCGTATAGGTTAGGCTTTGTGTGATGACCTAATGTGTAGTTCATTATTATGGTTTGGTTTGTTTTTAGCATGGTCAACATGGAAAGAACTATCCTACTGGATACCCTCATCACCATGGAACTGGACCGCATGGTTATGGACCAGGTGCAGGAAGACATCCCCATGGACATCCTCCAGATTTCTACTCTAGGTATGTGTAGGGAGTAAAAAACACATTTCAACAGTATTTAGTTGGACTTCACAAAGAAAAAACTTGGGGGTTTTTGTTACTAAGGAATTAGGCTTTTCAAATTCATCAGTGTTTTAAAATGCCATTGTGCTTATTAAGCAATCATGTCAACAAGGACAACAACGGCGTCCAAAAAAAATTGGTCTTGTGAGCAAAACAATAGCGCTGCTCTTGCATCATGCTTTTTAGTACATTTCTTCGATGTCTACTGCACGACTACGATTACAATGTGAAACCTTCTAATGTGACATTTTATTTTGGATGTGAGCATATAACAACAAATTTTCCTTTCTCGTTTTTAACCTGGATAAGGTCCTTAAGAATTCAACTGGAGAAAAAATCTCCTACATTTGACAAATTTAGTGGGTCCAAATAGATGCGACAAAGTTTGAAAGAGTGCAGATTTATTTTTTAGCAATTTTTCGCTGCCGTCGTTGTTGTCGTTGCTTAAGCTCGCTAATGGTGAGTGAACATACATGTAACCAGAGGGTGTTGTCTCTTTGTCCAATTTGTTCCTTGATCAAGAGACAAGATCATTATACTGGAGCCCTTGCGCGCATGCAACGGAGCACCATGGGTAAGAAAATGTGGTTATCTATGCTTTCAAGAAATTTTGGTTCTGCGAAAATCGTCTGTATGTACATATGTCCACACCTTTTATTTAAGCCAGGGTGAAATGTTGTATATCGAGCACCTGCACATTTCACCTGTAAATCGCATGGCCACCCAGACCTTTTAGAGCGAAAAATTAGACAACAACAAAGTTGAGTTTTTCTTTCAGCTAAATTTGTTGTCAATGTCTACATTGGCGAGGATAACAGAGAATGAGCTAGAGCTAGAGCTAGAGCTAGAGATAAAAAACAAAGGAGATCAATTTCGTTCAGAAGAAAAACATGAAAATTTTATAATAATAATAATAATGAAGGTCTTTATTAAACACTCTAAACAACAGACTTGTTTAGTTACAATGATATCGATACAGATAACTAATTAACTAACTTGGTAACTAACTAACTAACTAAAGAACAAAGGTCTATTTACAAAAGTTCTCTTGAAACGCTCAGTTCTGACAGGCGGGAGAATACAGTTATAACACCTCTTGCGTAACGTAATCATAGTTCGCTCTTGTGGCAGAAGGTCATGCAAAGCTGTTGTTGAATTGCTGTCGGTGATCTTGTCCCATAACTTCTTATCTTTCAGGGCAATAATATTTTCAATTAAGAAAAGAAAAAGAAAGGCATTATCTTATAGCTGTAGTGAGTAAATGAGAAATGCTAGCTGCCACCAAGGTGAAAATGAGTGGCAGTGAAAAACAAAGTGAACAGGAGCACATTTGACATTTCCTCCATAAAACATGTAACTAGAAAGTTTCGAGAAGTTTCATGTTCTAGTCGTGCAAAGCAAAGGCAAAGAAATGTACAGAAAAGTGTGCTGTACGTGCAAAGTTGTTTTTGCCAATTAGACCTATTGTTTTTTTGCCATTTTCGTTGCTGTCACCATTTAACATTACACGATTTTATTTGTTTTTTGAGTTAACTGTAAATGCAAATAAGAGCGTCTTGGCTTGAATCTGTGGTCTCCAAACTTAAAAAAGGGAAAATCAAGAGTAGAGTCTCAAGAATGTAGATTTGTGTGATGGTCAACTTACTTTTGAGCATTACTGTAGGCAGCAGTTTGAGGTTTGAAACACATTATCTCTAGAACACTGGTAGCCACAAATATTGCACATTTTGTAACCGCTACCACTAGGACCACAGAAACTGAAAAAGGAAATTCTCTTTGTCAAGGTAAATTTTGTGTTGTGTAATATAACCATTGTAATTATTATAGGGGACCAGTACACAGACCAGGAGCTGCTCCAGGACCAATGCATAGGACATTAGACAAAGGAAGAGGTGAGGGATATGGTAGGCCTGCTATTCTGAAACCGGAAGATATACAAGCAATGGATGATAATGACGAAGAAGAGGAAGGTGGATGGGCTGGTGCTCAAGATGAAGTGGATTATGCTGCCAAGCTTGATTTTGAGGACTTTGATGAGGATGAAAAACCATCTGCAGAAAACTCGAAGGAGAGATCTAACAGAGATACAAGTGTTGGTGAGCCAGAATCAAGATGGCAAAGTAATGAAGGCAAAACTGTAAGTAGTTCCTGTCATGTGTACAATGTTCTAGCCTTTGTGGCCCACCAATGGTGCTTTTTCTTCACAGCCAGTAGTTTAGAAGTGAGTTGTAACCTTGGGTGTAAAAGAGTCAATCCTTTAACTGAAGTAAAGAAAGTGACGGTCACAGTGATACATTCAAGTCTGAAACAGAAAAAATATAATATTTCTTTAATTATTGATTTTTAAGAATTATTATAAAGTAGTTGCTCAGATTTAAACTAAATTGGTTTAGGTGTAGCTTTTGTGATTGTAGCTACAAAAAGGAACAGTCAATTTGCTGAGGATTATTGTTTAAGATTCTCACTTCTAAACATCAGTTCTGAGGAGTGTCAAAAATAGATATATTTTTCTTAAACAAAAGAAACTTTAAAAAGAATGTATGGTGGTAAAAAGATTTGGAACCTGATGCAAAGTGGTGGTCTTTTGTGCAGTAAGGATGTGCTGAAGCAGTTACAGTGCAGGTCAGAACTAAGCGAACCAAAATATATGTGTAATACGTGTCAGGAAATACAAGTCCATTGTGTCAGGCCAGATGTGTCCATGCGTCTGAGCTGACAAACATATGCATCTGCTCTGAAATGCATCAGTGCTTAAGACTCATTAGTATGTATGAGCTATCTCTATGTGTAGAAGTGTAATGCGTCCAGTCGGTAGAAAGCCGACAAGAATCAAACTGGCAGATCAGCTCATGCCAAAAATTTGCATGTAACAAACCACACGAATGAACTGTAAAACTGTCATTTGGCATTGAGACACATTTCTGAAGTAATCAAACAAAGAACTCTCAAAAGTGTTTGAAAAACCTGACGCACGTAAATTTTGATTACAGTGGAGATGAGATTTGCATTTGATTTTAACTACTCATATCTCTCATACAGTAAATTGAGAGTGGTCAAGGAATTCCCTCAAAAACGAACATTCACATCTTTACAAGACCTATGCAAATACATGTACAAAAGTAACACCGAACCCAACATCATAACAAAGTGTTCTTCCTGTTAAGCTGCTGTAAATGATTGATGTGAAAAGATGCATGGCACATGCATGAAGGCAAAATGAGCAAACTGTTGTTTGCTGTTCGCATCCATGAAGCTTTTACAAGGTATCAAGTCTTAAAGAATGAAAAGGAAATCTTTTTTGTAAGTCCTTCATTTGACACAAATTGCAACCTCACTGGCACAGTACATGGTCGGAAATTCCTCAAGGATTTCAAAAACGTTCAAGAGATATTCATTCACTTCCAGAATGAATTAAAAAAGCAGCTAAACAATCTAAACCTGAAATGTTGCACATAATTATAAAAATTTATGTTTTTTTAAGGAGAAAAACTGAGAATATTTTCGTTTTCATTGCACCATTTCTGGTGCAAATGTTGCTATTTTTCAGCGGGCTTGAGGTAACATTTTGGATCAATTTAAGTTTTTAAGAGTACAATCGAGAGTTGCCTTAAATGTGAATGTATTAAAGCCTATTGCAAAGTCAATTGGAATTACGGCCTAATTATGAGTGTGGCTATTTTACTTGCTTCTCAGATATGTAAATTTATTTCATTTATTTCATTTTGTCGCTGTTAAAATAAAGGCTGATTTTCGGCTCTTCTAAGAACCGCTTGTATTCTTCAGGTGTATGAATCTAGAATTGCAATAACAAGCGATTTTGCTAATGAAACTCCACACGTCGCCAAATCTACCTTGATTAATCACAGCTAAAGTCCCTCAAGGAAAGTTCCTTAGAATGAGTGACTATTGAGCTTCTTCAAACCTGAGAATTTGTTTTGTTATTTACAACAATGCAGCCCAAAGCAAAGCTGTCATAGTGAATAACAAAAGAAAAATCGTTTCCTTCCTGAAGAGTCTGAGCGAACGCAGATGCTCGTCAGTTCTGGCCTCCACCCTTGTTTAAGCTGACATGTCCATTGCATCAAATTTGTGTCTGCATTGTTCGCTAAGCTCTGGCCTGCACTGTAGCATCAAAGTCCTTAATAGACAATTAAACTAGCAAAGCAAAGAAGCACAATGAATATTGTATGACACATTTGTTAGTCAACATTTGCTTGGGCATTTTAATAAAGTATGCATGGCCTTGTCAGCAGTTAAACTGGTTTACAGAGGGCTTGAAGTAATGACACAGACTGTGTCCAGTCAAAAGTAGGCTCTGTCCAGTTTGTTTGATTGTTTATGCATGCGCTTCTAAATTTTTAAAAATTTCTTTCAACATGGTTGGACATTTCTGGTGAAGATATGGCCAGACTGAGAAATGTTACAAAATATTGTTTTTAGTTTTTATATCTAGTTTAAAACTAGAAATTTGTGCCTTGCAAAACCTCGCAAATCTCCAAGTTAAGCCCTGACGGTGGAGCTTTCGCTGGTCCCTTTAAAGCTTGCTCATGATAAATGATTCTTAATGGGGATTTCTTAGTTTCCGAGAGGTGCAATTTATTGCTATTTGTTCATCAGCACAAATCTAGAAGTGTGTAGTGTAAATTATTCTTATAGTCGGCACACCTTTGCAAAGAAGGGTGATGAAATGTTGTAGTTTGTAATGACTGGATCAAACATTGCAAAGAAGTGGATAATATAACTGAAGCGACAGTTGCATGCACAAATACAATATTATGAAGGCTTTTTCGATTTAGCCCAATATTGTTGTTGCCCCACTGTACCATGCTCCACACTTCCTATATTTCACACAATGCTTCATGTATTATGTGGCTGAATCCGCAAGTGGACAAGATGGAGTGAATCCTGTCTTCTGATTGGGTATCCACCAATCTGGAGCTTATGCTTGATCAGTAATGCATGTGTCATGCTTGCTTTGGGTGGGTGTGGGGGATTTTATTGAGATGTGAAGTGATAAATGTTTGCCCAGCGAAAATCGGGTTGTCTGAGTAATAATAGGCTGATTTAGCAACAGAACAGGAATGTCATTTGACGATATGAAAGTGCGCGGAAAGGACTAAACGCGACTTCCAGTGCGCAATTTCCGGCTTTGCCATTGGTCAAGCCAGTTGTTTGATTTGGGCACGCTGTCGTCACCTTACGTTCCTGTTCTGTTGCTAAATCAGCCTAATAGGTTTGACTGGACTACTTGACTTTACCAATAATTAGTAAAACTGCCAAGTTTAAGAGTTATTTGTTGAAAACTTACAAAGATGTAGCTCCTCAAAGTCGCAAAATTTCAGAGACGTTTGTATGGTGGGTAGCCTGCAAATGCAGCTGTTTCTCCTTGCTCCTTGCCGCTTGGGATGTTTGGCCAAGAGAGATGACTGTGCCTCAGTAACAGAAATTCCATACTGATGATGTAAATCAATGTTTGCATTATTTATCCGGTAGTCATGGGGTTCCAAATGCAAATTTGTTCGATTTTAAGTTCCTCCTGGTTGATTTTGGTGGAATTTTGCGTTTTCTGTCACTGAGGTGCAGACATCTCGCCTGGCGAAACATACCAAGGGTCAAGGAGAGAGGAGAGGTGGCTGTTTTCGCAGGCTATAGAGAGGGGGGCATAAACTTGCCTCCCGCCATACTAACATCTGTCAATTTTCGCAATTTTGAGGAGTTACATCTTTGCTCGCTTAAGATGTATCACTTTCAAACTTGGCAATTTTACTAATTTTAAGATTAATTTTTAGATTTTTCCTAACTGGTCCATGTCAAAAGTAGAAAAAACTGTGGAAAAGTATATGTTGTGGCTCAATTTAATCCTTGAATTAAATGTTATTTTCCTTTGTTTTTGGGTATGGTAATGTATGATAATGAGTTTGAAACAAAGGAAAATAAATTTTAATCCAAGAATAAAATTGAACCACAACGTATATTAATTTCTTATGTGTGAAAACTTTCTGCAGGCTAGATCTATCCATACACTGGGTACTTGTAAAATATAACTCATTCTCCATTTGATGACACAGTTGAGAATGCTCACCTACCAGCTGAATGTTGTGTTCTGTCCAGTTTCTAATGCTTTCAACTTAAGAGTAACTGAGGTCTGTGAGAAAACTAATCACATTACTTACTGAGACACCAGACACCCCTTTGCAGAATAACACAGTCTGTGAATTCAAATTTGTTACAGAGAAACATAGGTGTAACACATTCTGATTTCTCCCAGGGAAACGAAACTGCACCACCTCCAACTAGACAAGCATGGGTTGAATCTCAGGGACATCTCCATGGCTATTCAGATGGTAGGCAAATACCTGCAGGGCCTGGAATGAGACAATTTGACATTCGGGGTTCCCCACCTGCTCCAGGGTGGCCTATGCCATACCCTCAGCATCTCGCAGCGCAGCAAAGAGAAGGCGGTCCAGTACAACCTTCCCATCAGATTGGTCCTGATCAAGCAAAGCCAGGTCCCATGGAAGGAGAAGTAGCAGTCAATGAGTGGCAGAAACGAAGAGTGCAGCAACAAGAAGAAATGCGTGTTGCAGTAGAGAGGGCGCGGATAAAGCGGGACGAAGACGCGTTGAGAAGGCAAGGTAAGCCAGTCCCCATGGAAGGAGAACCAGTGGTCAATGAATGGCAGAAACGAAGGGTGAAGCAACAAGAGGAAATGCGGGCTGCAGTAGAGAGGGCTAGAAAAAGGCGAGAAGAAGATGAGTTGAAAAGGCAAGCTGAGCAAAAAGCTGCCTCAACAGCAAAGCTGAAAGAGTTAGAGCTGAAGAGAATTAGAAGAGAGAGTGCTAAAGAGGGAGAGGATGCTTGGGGAGATGAACTGGACTCCATTGAAAAGGAGTCTAGTAAACCTGCTAATGAACATTGGGAATCAGAAACATCTGGAAGGGAACATGAACCCCATAGCACAACAGTAAACCAGCAGGATGGTTCTTTGATAAGAAATGAGGTTTTTGAACATTCTAACAGGCAGCGTAATGACAGCGATTCAAGTGATGCCTCCCGATCAAGTGCACCAAGAGGTGCTTCAAGAACACATCATCATCCAAGAGACATCCCCCCTCGCTTTCAGCAGCAGCAACAACTGCGTCAGCAACAGCAGCAACAATTTCAGCCGCATTATCAGCAGCAGCAACCTCCGCAACAGTATCAGTACCATCAGCAGTTAGCTAGATCGCCGCAGTTGAGAGAGCTTCCAGAAGGACCACTCACAGTTAGTCATCATCCTGTGGTTGAGACAGGTGGGTTTGAAAGCATTGATCGTCTCTTTTTTAATAATGGAAAATAGAGTGTAATAATTGCTAAACAATATTATTGTCAGAAACATGATCACTATAAACTGTCACTTGTGTATGACTCTGCAATATTGAAGATACCTTGCACTGAGACCTTGCTGCAGTGTAGGGGAGAACTGGGCCCAGTTGGTTTCACTGATGGTTAAGGTTTAAATTTAAGGAAAATTTGTTCATCTGGGCCCAGTTGTTCGAAAGCCGATTAGCGCTTAACCCGGGGTTAAATTTAACCCGCGTTTCTTTTTCTGGCGTTCAAAAGCATTTTGTCGGGTAATTTTCTCTGTTATTTTTAGAGCTTCCAATCATCAACTAGTTAGGACAAAAAGAATTAAAACTGAAATGCTTTTTAAGCTTTCAAATTTAAATTCAAATCTCGCACTAACCCTGGGTTATCTTAACCCAGCTTTGAACAACTCCGCCCTGAGGATTTTGTAACTATAGCTTGTAGATTTATGCTGAGCGTTCAACTAGACCTAACTTGTGCTAACCCAAAATGGTACTCCAGACAATCTCAGTGAAGGGGAACAAATTGTGGAATGGTGGAGTTAGGTTACAGTTATTGGCCGTCCAGCAACTAGACTCAGGTGATCAGTTTCTCAAGATATTGGTAATTCCCTGGTTTTGCACTGCCCGTCTCTTACTGTGTACAACAAGATGGCTACTGTGAAAAAAGAGCTCCTCAGTAAAATCATTAAAAAGGGGGTTAATCAGTGAAAAAGGTTATTGTGACTGGCATCCTAGTTCCATCTTTCACTGTTGCCTAAATGCATGCGGTGAGATAATCATCTCCAATTGTGCTCCCCTCGGCTCTCTTATGCCTATTGGTGTTGTACATGTCTTTTGTAAAGATAATAGGGTTTGATACAAATGTTTATCAGTAAATTCATTAGCCAGTGCAAGTGCTGCCTGAAATTGTGTCAAGTAACCCTTTCAATACGTTGTAAGTAGACAGTGTCCTTAGAAATGAGTAGGTGTGGCTTCTTGATATTACGGAAAAAGAGGTTCCATTTTATTGTGTCCAAAGTGGATTTCAGTATACCGAATTGTAGTACAAGACTCTTAAAATATTTATTTCTTCTGGCTTTAGGTCCTTTGTCACCTTCACAGCCTGTAAGAAGAATAATGAAGCGTTCTGATAGCAGTAGTACTGCTGGAGATGATATTGCTAGTGTGAAATCCCTTGAAAGTGGTGGTGGGGAGCCAACCAGAGAAAGTGAGCGAAGATCACCTGCTGCACCACCACCTGATAAAGTTGACAAGGCTGACCTAGTCAGTAGATCAGCAAAAGAAGATGAAGCTAAAAGACCAGACTCTAGCAGAACAGAAAAGAAGCAAGTAGACAACCAAGAGGTGCCAGTGTTTGATGAGGCTGGAAGCGAAGAATCAGGCGATTTAGGGCAAAGAAAACAGCAGGAACCTGATAAGCCGGTGGAGTGTGTTAAAGAAAAGGGGCCTGAGAAAACAGATGGTAAAGGTACCATTGATGGTGCAGTAAAATCTGTTCCTGAAAAATCAAGAACTTTACCTGACAAGGCAGATCAGACCAGAGAAAGACGTGAAGAAAGGCGCGGTTCTAAACGGGATGTAAGATCTCAAGATGAAAGACGGAGTGAAAATTCAAAAGACCTCGGTAAGCGAAAACGAGAAGACAGTGAAGATTTTGGACGGGTTCATGAAAGAAGAGGAAGATTTACTGGTCGAGATGATTTTAAACGTGAGCGGTTCTCAGAACCTCAAGGTCGTGGTAGAGTTAGCTTTCCAGTGCGGGGGCGTGGGCGTGGATTAGGGAGTAATGTAACAAGCCATCGTGGTCGTGGAAGAGGAGAAAGAGGTGGCAGAGAAAGTAGAGACTCCAGAGAATACAAGCCATACAGATCTCACGAGCCAAAGGCATCACCAGCTTTCAAGAGTGATAAAGGTGAGCAAAAATTAAAGGATGAAGGCAAGGAAAATGTTCCCAGAAAAACGAACTTTAGTAAACCTGAAAGTGAAACCCCTGTCAAAGTTTCACAGGATGTTGCCTTGGTGAAACAGGAAACAACCCAGGAAACTAGTCCCTCAATATCTGGAAAAGATGTGGTTCTACCGCAAAAGGATGAAAAGACCTCTGAGGAAAAGAAAAGTGTTGCTGTGACTGAAGATAAGAAAACTGCTGAAGTTAATCTTCCTATCAAAGATGGTGATAAGTCTAAGGGGACTGATGATTCAAAAAAGAAATCAGAAAACAACAAAGAAGCTATTGATTTCAAACCAAGGGGGCGTGGTGGTTTTGGAAGGCCTCCTCAGCATTCACAAGATTTTAGAAGTACAGGCGTTGAGGACAAGCGTCCAGGAGGGAAGAAGTTCACAGATAAAAGGCGAAGTAATAATGAGAAAGGCAGGGATCGTTATGACGATTATGAAGAGAAACGGCCTACTCGGAGTTACAGTAGGGATCAGACAAGCCAAAAGACCACAACACGGGACAACAAAAACTGGGAGAAAAATCGAGAAAAGGATCAAAAGTCCTATTCCCAATATGAGGGAGAAAGCAGAAGTAGGCGTCAAGCTCAGGAAGACCGTATGAAGAGAACTAGTGAAAGGGACGATGACCAACAATATTCAAGATCAAGAACAGGGGAGAGAAATCAGCGAGGTGGCTTCCGCTCTTCATATTCTACTCGTGGACGTTTTGCTAAGCAGCCTTTACGCACAGGCATGCGGGGTGGAAGGTCGAATCAGCCAGTAGGAAGTGGACGCTTTGGGAATAATTATAGACGTTCCAAGTCGACTGATGAAGATCTCTCTGATGACGATTATGACAGTGATTCAAGCAGCTATACAACTGCTACTTCTGCGTCTGAAGAAAGAAGAGATGAGAAACCATCTGAAATAGTTGAAGAGTCAGATGTGAAGAGGTCAAAAGATAACAGTTATGATAAATCGAGGGGTGGTTCGCGATCTACAAGATCACCCATTCGTGGAAAGGTGTCCTCACGTTCTGGTGGGAGAGGTTCTGGTGGTTTTGGAAGGAGCAGAAGAGAAGTGGAACGTCCCCCTCGCTTTCAGAAACAACAGGAAAGGGAGAGAGCTAGAGGTGTTCCTCATGCTGATAGAGAAAGTGGTCCAGGGAGAGGAAGAGGTAGAGGGCGAGGAAGAAGAGACCAGCTTCAAAAAGATTCAGCTGCAGGCCCAGGAATGCCTGTTACGGAAGACTGGGATGAAGAAATAAAAGATAAAGAAACAGCGTCCTCCAAAGGTGATAAGCCAGGTCTGCGAAAGGAGACAAGTTCAAGGAGAGGTTTTTCAGGCCAACGATCTTCCTCTGATAGGAATCGCAATGAAAAGACCAGAGAATCAGGTGGTGCACGTAACACATCTTCTAGGCGAGAGCCTTTTTTAGCGGAAAGGCAGCAGGCAAAAGCTGAAGGTTCCAAGTCTGTGGGTGGTGAGCCTCGGGTGCCTTTGCCTGCTGCTAGAAATGGTGTGAGCAAGGATGGAAACCGCAGATCAGAGATGCAAGGCCACTCTCATGGAACTGGACTGGACAACATTAACGCTGCAGTAAGTGAGAACAGAGCTTTGCGAAAGCAAGAAACTCCTTTGAGAACAACTGACATTAAGCAGTTTGACTTGCACAATATTGCTGGTGTGATCTGCATCGACGATATGACAGATGATGACTCTGATATTTCATCAACCCTTAGTGGTTTTGTGGAAGTTACTTCTCGTCGAACTCAAAAAGAGAACAAAGACAGACAGCGTGAAGAGGAAGAGAAAAGAAAAAAGGCTGATGAACAAAACAGGCCACGCAACAATCAGGCAGGTCATAAAAAGAACCAGTCTTCAAAACCACCCAGATTCAGTAAGCAACATGCACCTCAAGCTAATACACACAGCAAGTCAGCTGGAGTAATCGGAAAGGTAACAAGTGCCATTGTGTCCGAGGCAGTGACAGGTCTTCCAAATGCTACAACAAACAGTAATCCATCCAGTGCAAATTCTACAAAACGTAACAGTCCAGTAACAGTTGAAAGACCAGTATCACCTCCCCCTCCTCCTGTTTTTAATGCTTGGGATAAACCACTGATTGTTACTCCTGCAAAGCCACCAAGTGCAATCATTCCAGCAACCTCTTCAGTTCCTGATCCTCTGGCAGTGGGAAGTGGCAAACCTTCACGTCCTGTGCAATCGGTGAGTATAGTATGGTGAATGAATAACCTTTACCTTGGAACCCCATTGTCACATTTGTTAAACAGGCGTTTAACGGTTAGCATTGAAGTTAGGTGAGGTTAGGATTAGGTTATGTGCTACTAAAGGGAAGAAAACAAAAAAAACTGTTATGTGACTTGACGCATAGGATTAACAGAAAAAGCTCTTGGTATTTTTTTGTCTTGAGCATCTTTTTTCTCCCTCCTGTTAGTGCGTATCCTATTAAAATTTTGTATGATTATCAAACAATATGTATTTAAAGTGCTGGTGCATTGAATTTTAAAAGTTGCTGAAGTCACTGAAAAGGTTTATTACAACCTTGAGTTGATGTGTTTGAGTAGTCCTTATTTGTATTCCCGTATGGCCTAGGATAAGTGCTTGTTTTGGCGTGGAAGCAAGGCTGCTGTGGCGAGTCTCATCTAGAAGAGAAGGGCCGCATTAAAGAGCTTTAGATTCTGAGACGAGGACGACTATGAGGACGAGATTTTCCCAATGCTGAGTAGTGCGCGCGCGTGAGCTAACGTCATTTTGGCGGGAAAACGTGGTAGCCGCGTCATTCTACTACGAGTTTTATCGAGAATGTCGTGGTGACAAAAACAAGTTATCAAATGTCAGGAATTTTATCATTAGCGATCGGGAGAGGTTTTACCCCCTTCAGCGGAATTAAGCGAACAAACTTTTGTCGTGAAAAAAAGTACAGTGATGCTTTCCAGGGTGTCTATTTTTGAGAATAGGCGAGAAAACTTACAATTAAATGTCGTCCTCGTCCACGAATCTAAGGCCCTCTATTTTTGTTCAAAGGTCTCAGAATGCTCAAAACTTACTGACAAGTGTGTTGTTCATCACTGAGAAAAACAATGAGCCTAACCTGAAATTGACTAAAACAGTGGTTTGTCATCTAGTTTAAGAATGCAAGGATGGCCTTAATATCTTCAAAGCTTGGTAATATCCCGAAATTTTGAAACTTTTTGAAGTATACCGCTTTCATTTGAATGGATAATTGTACATGTTGAAATCCTACGATAAAGTAAAAACACCCGCTTCACAGTCAACAGTTATAAATATTTAGGCGGGGGATTTAAGCCCATCAGATGGAGAAATATTTTGAGTGAAATATAATCATAGTTAATGGTTTACAATTAATATTGCTTATAATAGGGAACAGTTATCTCCTCTACTGCATCATTAATTGAGGACATCAGCGTAGACGAGGACTACATTGCTATGACAAAGGAGATTGCTTTGCTGGCTCCTCCAGAAGAACCTGAAGAAGTTGAAGCACCTAATGACCCTGGTACCAAACCTAAGGGAAAAGTTGAAGCTATTGACAAAACGTCTCAAAAGGTTGTGAAGAGTATTGATGAGTCAGATAAAAGGTCCCAGCCCAAACCCCAGCGAGAAAAACCCCCAAAGTTTGACAGGACTGGAAAGCGAAGGGTTTCAGGAAACACTGATGTAACTAAGAAGGAACAGTCTGGTGAGACAAAGGGGAGAAAGAGCAGCCGTGACGGCCAGACTTCTCAAAAACTACAGAATAAATCAGCTCGGGTAAGAAGTATTTTTACTTAGTGTGACTGATCTTTCTTTTCTTGTTGGAAACATGCGTTTATTGTCGACTTGTTTAATACAATACAATACAATACAGTAACTTTATTTAAAGAGGGAAGCGCAATAAACTGTTACAGTTTTCTAACCTACGGCCCTCAATCAAGAATACAAGCTCGAGGAGAATATGTTAATTGCTTTAGTGAAAGCATAAGCATTACGACTAGGAAACACTTGTGCTTACTCTTGTATCTGTGTTCTGCGTTCAAACTAGTGGGTTTCAACCATTAAAATAAACAAGGAGAGCAGCAAAAACACCTCACTTACCACAAAACCCATCTATCCCCCCTCCAACCCTCTCTATCTTCTAAATTTTATCCTTTTGTGCCTACAGTATATATATGATCATCCTTGTGGTTATGTTTGTGCTTATGCTTGCATGAGCCTTTTTTGTGGATGAGTATTTTAAACGTATCGTGGTATTCATAGAGGCCCTGATGTCTTACGACTCCCATTTAATTGTATTTTACTTCAAGGATGCTCTTCACAGCAAGAATCTAATTCAATTAGTTTTCCAAAATCCCTCTAAAAAATGTACCACATTTAACAGGATAAAACCACGAAGGGAAAGACAGTGACGTCGGCTAACAGCCAGCAGAAGTCAGTGTCGCCTGAAGATCAGACTGTAGATGGTGTGGACGCTAAAGAGCTGCAAGAGTGCGAGGAGTATGATGCTTCCACTGTTGAGGACATTTCAGCACCTGCTTCTGATGAAGGAAGTGAGGAAAAAGAGGATGATCTGAAAGAAGGAGAGGTAAAAAAAGATAAATTACGGACTTCAAGTACTGTAGTAAAGTTATACGTAGTAATTTTTGTTGTCGTTTTTACCTCCTATGATCCGTTTTAGAGTGTGATTTCAAGTACTCTGTTTGTCCTTCTGACACCGTATATGGTCGGATATGGAATGGTTTCTTTTTTAAATTCTGACATGGTTTAAAGAAGTTACTTTGTTAATTCTCTCAGTTGCTGCAAACATATGCTTCTTTGTTTTGTGTCTGAACTGAAGCTCGGTTGTTTTAATATACTTGAAAGGGTATTGACTGTGGTCAAGGAACAAGGGTGGCACAGTTGGTTAGTGCACGGCCTTCGGTGCGCGAGGTCTCGAGCTCGATCCTGATGACATGACATCCTTGTTTCAACTTCTCTCCTTTCTATGTAGCTTTGACTAGCTTTAAAAACCCTTAAAACGGAGCATTGATGTAGAGAGGGAGCAAAATGTCGACCTCGCGTTTATCAGTTGTTACTGTCACGAGTTATCGACGTAAAATATGGTTGCTTTACCTTTACCGTTTACCTTTAACCCTTAAGAATAGTTGAACAACACATTCAAAATTGTTTCATTCATTTTTCTTTTCTATAGGATCAAGAGGCTAAAGATGACTCCGAGAGTGAATCAAGCAGGAAGGATTCTGAGCCAGACTTGATCGTGGACACTCCTGAGAGAAATAATGATGCTGACAACCTTTTCAGTTCAAGCTCTCTTGCAGTGAACATCAATGAGAGACCAACCACTAACAGACCAGTCCGGGAGCCATCTCCAGTGTCACCAGCTATCTATGAAGAAATGTCAAAGAAGGTGGAAGCGTCGAGAAAGCTGTGGGATAGTGGGGTAGGCATTAGGCGAACAAGTAATCCAGTTGCTGCTTGGGAGGAGACGCTGCGTACACCAGCAAGTGTGGGGTCATCAATTGTGGGCATGCCAGTTGTGGAGGCAAATGAATTACGGCTAAGTGATGATCAAGTCACTGTTTCGAAGTCGGAAGAACTGGAAGTGAATTCCAGCAAGGTGGACTCTAAACCCTCTGACGGTATAAGCTTTACAAAGAAATCGGCATCTGGTGAACAGCAGAATGTCTGCAAGGTGAAGCCCCAACAGCAGCAACAGCCTTCAGTGAAACCTCAGCCGTCCACTTCACTGGTTTCACAAACTGCAGAAGAAAACATCCCTTCCGAACTGAATGCAGTCCCCTTGGGACAGCCTTTGCTGACACAGGACCAGTTGCTCACACAACAAGCAATAACACCCCGTTATGCATTTCCTTTTGTCAGTCAGTACATGGATTTACAGCAAAGACAGCCCTTCTTACAGCAACAGCAGCTTCAGCAGCTTCAACAAGCAAGTCAGCATGTAACCCCCACTTATCCTCTCAATCACGTGCAGCAGGTAAATCAGGCGCGTTCCTCTTCTTCCCCACTTTCCCAAACACCTCAGGATATATACCAGTCTTCGTTCTTAGCTGGTGGGGTCTACTCTGCTGGCAATTTTCAAGGGACACAACCTTTTGTGTCCATTGCTCTGTTGCCCTCCACTACAACTCAGTCGTTTGTGACCTCTTCAACAAGAACCCAGACTACTTCTTTAATGGGTTTGCAGGCTCAGCAACCAAAGACTGTATCTGGATCGGTCTTTGCACAAAACGTGAACCCTCAGGGAGGACAAATGTACATGCCATTCGATCCCAAAACGTTAGGTGGAGGAACTCCATTGTTCAACTTGGCCCAGCACCCACAGACTGCTCACAGACAGCTTCTGGGAGCTCAGTCTGGTATTGTGGGAGATAATATTCCTCGACAAGCCGGTTTTTCTACGGCCCAACCAACTCATCAGTCTTTCCAGGGAGCATACCCTTTTCAGCCGAAGCAAAGTGCATTTGATGTCTCACAAGACCTGCAAGTGAAAAAACCATCTGATCAGTCAGAATTCACCCGACAGTCTGAACTAGTAAAACATGTCAATGCCAAACCTTTTGAGCCTCCAAAGAGATCAGCACCAGGTTCAATACCAGGAAACAACCCTGCAATTGCACCGTTGGTTTCATCAACATTTACCCGAAATCCAAACATGATGACTATTCGTCCCAGCCCACAAGATGTAGGAGGAACGTCGCAGAGTCCACCAGTGTCTACATCCCTCATTTCTGGCAGACCTGTGTCCATGTCGCCAGTTGATCCAGGTGTCCCTTTTCCTGGTGCAGTAGGAAGTTTCCCAAAGCACACTGCAGTGGGTCAGTTTCAGGTGCAACAGCAACCTCAGGGAGTTCAACCTCAACAGTTTACCCCTTTTCAGCAGCAGCCAGTGGGTATTCAGCATGCTCTTCAGATACGAGCCCCGGGGCAGCAGCAACAACAAGCTGTGAATCCACTTCAAGGTGCTGCAGCGACCATCTTGCCAAATCCAGCTGTCATGGCTGCTATGCCAAGGCAGCTTATTCGTACACCAGGCCTTGGTCCAATAGGTGTGAGTGGGGCACAGCCAACTGCACCCAATGCACAGAGGTTCCCCGCACCAATCCAGCGTCCTATGACAACATCATTAATGCATGGAGTACCTCACATGCAGGCTCCACGTCCACAAACAGTAACACCTCAGATGGTGCCTTCAAAGCAACAGATCATGCAAAACAGACCGCAGATGCAACAGCCACCAGTGTCACATCAGAATCCAATGACATCTGCCTTTAAGCTTGAACAGCATCAAAAGATGTTGGAGCAGACCAAAATGTTCTTTGCCCAACAAGGGCAAAATCAACAGCAGCAGCAGCAACGCGTGCCAACTCAGAACATTTCAACTGATCAGCAACCGAAAGTTGCACCCACATCACAAGGAGAACGACCACTCTTAAAAGGTCAAGTACAAAAAGAAGCAAACAAACTACAGGAGAAGAAAGAAGAAACAATCCCAAGAAACCGAAAACCCAATTCCGAAGCAAACAAGACGTCAAAGACAACAAAAGTAGACTCAAAGCCAGAAGAAAGCAGCAAAAATAAAAGCAACACAAAACAGGATGGTAAAGGTGCCGCTTCTAAAAGCAGCAGCAGCAGTAGCAGCAGCATTGGCCGTGTTCAGCCCCTACCCATGTCACAAAGAGGAAAGCCAAACAGGGGTCGAGGCCCTCCAAGAATGCCTGTTACGCCTGTAAACAAACCTAAGCTCTCTGGACGACTAGAGAAAGACCCCAAAGATGGAACAGCTCCAGAGCAGTCCAGTGGACCCCCAAGCTCCAAGACTACCGATCAGGCAAAAACCGCCGATGCACAACAAGTGCCGCCCCTAAGTGTCAACAAGGCATGAATTTAACTTCTTTATATAAGAGACCGAAGTTTCGGTGATTTCATTTTCAGCCCAGAAAAAAGGTTGTTTTCGTGGTTGTTACCACACACACAAAACTATATCGTACGCGTGATTTTCGACTCGTTTGTTTCTAACTGTAGTATTTTGAGAGGTTTTTCTTTCGGGAGAAGCTCGCATAAGCATTTTTGTTCCTCTCATTGCCGCAACACTGTAAATTAGTTCATGGAATGTTTGTACAGAGGTTTGCGATGAGTTAATTTATTGCTGATGTTAAGCTTTCTTGATGTAAAATGGTGAGTTATTTCACCAAAGAGAATTTCAACATTTTTTGTGCTAATCATACGAACGAATTAAATAGATTTAAAAATGCTATGTGATGTTTATTTTGATGTAAACTAGTTTCGGTGGTGTAATGTTTTCGTGTTGGTCCTGAGTGCTAGCTCAAAAAGAGGCAGTTGGCAAACGTATTACCTTTTACCTTTTCAATCGACAATCTCAAAGCCAGGGCGGTGTTTCGAAATACGGGACGAGTTACACCCATCAGGTTGCTGTGGTAATTTTTGTCACCTTTTTTATCGTTTTGAATAGCTTAACAACTAATTCCAATAGGTAAAATTCAACCAGTGGTCTATTATCAATGCTGCGTTCTGATTGGTTGAGCTACCACTAGGCTATATGTTATAGCCCAGTGGTAGCGAAAAGCGCCGGCTTTTCGGCGGCAAAAAAAGGATTAAAGTCTAGCTTTAACTAGCGAAAGTTGTTTTGTCTCGATATTTTTGACCAACTAGTTGGATTTTACCAAAACAATTATTCCTCTCGCCCTCATGGCCTCTTGAGTCAATAGAGACCTTTGGCATCAGGCAAACCGTAGTTTGTAGTTACGCGTTTGCAGTTTTGCGTTTCCGAGATTTCCAATTCTAGCAAGGCGTTCAATTCAGTTCAGGTCATTTTTATTTAGCGAAAATATAATACAATACAAGAATACATATAGGAATTGTAAGGTTGCAAGGGAGCCCAGAAGAGGTCAGACGGCTTATGAAGCTTGGGCGCTCCAGTCTCAAAGAAATAAGCAAAATAAAATGACACTCGCGGAGTGATACGTTAAAAATTGGAACTTAACAGAGACTGAGTTAAGTTATGAATTCAGTAACAAGACCAAAAAAAATTTAGCTCTGGATTGGAACAGAATACTTTCTTTTGTTAGTACGGCAGAAAGGAATGTAAAATCGATTTGAGCTACGCGTTCATTGTCTAGGGCCGCTACTTTGTTTTCATTAAGTTGAAGTGCATCACTTTAATCGCGCAAAAATCAGGAATAATTCATTGATTCGAGATAAAAAATCCAACAAACACACTGCAAACGGGTATAAAAAGCTAGTTCACACCTGTAAACTTGAGGCTGTACAATTTTTGTGGCAAAAAACTTTGCCGTAAATCAATTACCGCTGGAAGCCCTTCCTGGGGTTTAAACGTGAACTGCAAACTGTAAACGTGACCGCAAGGCCGTGGTCACGTGACATTTTGCGGTTTGCAGTTCCCCATGAAAAACCTGATGGCCTCATGGCTATTGACCCAAAGCCCATTGAGGCTCGAGGAGTAATTGTTAAGTAGTGAAAGGTTGGAATTCACGTATTATTTCAGATATGATCGTCTGGGTGGGGTTAGTCCTGAATAGGACTATTGTTGACTGTGACTTTCGTTGATAGTGTTATTGACTGCCAACAACAGTCCTTTTCAGGACTTCACTTTCACGTTCAGTTTCTCGTGGGAGTTAAAATGGCCCCAAGAGAAACTGAAAACAATGCTTATGCAAAATTTTGGGGTGACAAACAAAGAGCATTATGGTATGTTATGGTATTTTCTGGAGTGGTCAATATTATTGCGGCCTAACAGGAGGGCATTTTGCGTGCGCATGCGTGAATCCGCTGAACGACAATAGCTTGGGCGCATCAAATCTGATGGCGGGAAATCGAAAACTCGCGCGTAAAGTTACAGTCCTTTTAAAAGCCATTTCGTTGTTGCTTTGAATACTTTACTTTCCTACAAAAAATACTCTCCATGACACAAATCGAACGTTTTTTACGCGGGTTTTCTCTTGTAGATTTTTCAGCAGTAGGTTTTCTTGGCCTTTAAAGACTTTCATGACTCAACGCCAAAAGTCATGTTCCTGTATAGGTCTGATTTTCTCTGGCAAAGCAATGCATTTCTATGGTTTGATTTCCAAACTCGTAATTTTACTTAGCAGGGAGGAGATTCATCGTAGCAATCAATGTTCAGCTGCTTTAAGACAAAAAGCGAAAAAAAAATTTACCGCGCGAGGTTTATTTGTTAGCGCGATGTTTCATGTTAAACTGATCGCGGAGACACGCGTTTATGTATGCCATAAAAACATGAAATCTATGGTTTTTTTTTACAGTTTTTCGAAAGTTTTCGCGGAAAAATTTACAAAAAATATTCCATAGGAAATGAAGAATGGGTGGAGTTTGAGACAGCAACCGTAATTACAATTGATTATGTAGTACACAATCAATAGAGAATTTCATAAGCTCAGTTGCAGGCAAAACGATTGTACATACTCCGAAAAAACGAACAGTACTTTTATTTTTCTTTAACTCTAAAAATACAGAGATTTTTCCTAAGCTACTATTTTGAAGCGACTCTTGAGTAACAGCTCCCGTGTTCCACAATCGATTTCTTGTTATTAATTTACATTTGATGACATGCAGTAGTAATCCATTCAAAACAGAGAATGGCCATCACTCCATAAATCTAACTGACGATGTTGTTCACCTTCAAAGCCTGTTTAAACATAAGACATGAAGTTTGTTAAAGGAGTGCATATAATATAATACTGTTTCCTCAATAAATAAATACTTCTGCTAAAGGACCCAAATGAGCTGGGATGCGACAACAAACATGACACAAATGGATGGATGAATTTGTCTGTTATTAATGTTTCTGTTGAGAGCTTTTTACTGTATCCAGATGAACCCCTTATGTAAGTTGTACATCATGGAAGAATTATCACGCAGAAACTGATGCATAAACAAGAATGTGGTTCAATACAGACGAGAAGCTGATCTCAGTCAACATCCTTCGTGAATGAAATGTCTCACAAATTAGCATATCAACAAGTGTAGTATCCATAAAATGGTATCATTTAGGAATAAATGCGATTTTTTTGCAACAGAAGCCAGAATGTATTTAAAAGGTGTATTGATAACGTTTCATTTCGTGCTATTTTGGGGTTGGGGAGTTAGGCTAGATTTTCTTTAAAACGCCAAAATGTTATATTTATTTGCATAATGAAATGTAAACAAACAGTGTATCTTCAAAATAAGGTGGCAAAAATCAGAATTCAAACTGATTGCTGTAACTTTTTTCCTTTGTATAACTAAATGATAGAATATTCTTATTTTCAAAACACAGTCTTACTCGCATCATTATATTGATTTAAATTTATAGTTGAAGTGCGTGTATTTTATTTCTCAACGAAGACGTACCGGTGAAGAAGGCTAAAATTACTGTAGAAGGCGATTTTTCACAGCCTTCATCAAAGCGCCATTCATTCGCGGTAATATTCTTAGTTTCATTAATCATTAACATAGTCTGGGGAGAAAGGCAAGATTTCGAGATAAACAAGCCAGCGAAAGGGTGAAAAACAGTTTCACGGCAGAATGGACACTTAATTGACCGCTGTATTCCTGAAACGATTAAGTTCGATTTTAGAGTTATACTATTGAGAAGAATGAAGTATCTATAGGATAATTGTTTAACAAAAAATTATCATACTGACCTTTTCCTCCTGCTCAAAACATATGCGCGAAATGTTAGGTCGTAAGAACATTCAGCCGCCATCTTGTCTTCGATGTACTGTTTTACGAAAGGAAAGACTGTCCTCTCAAGGGCGACAGCGAGGCTACAATAAACTCACTTTCATCGTAGAAATACCGCGATACGTTGAGGAACAAGTTTGTGGAACGTAGCACCCAATACACGTCATTCAGCTCCAGAAAACAGCCTGCAAATGCTGGTACTGAACGTAAACAATTCACAGAAAATGCCTCTGTGGCACTTCAACAGCCAATATTGACGCATGCGCATACAAAATGCCCTCCTGTTTTGCGGCCTACTTTGAGTTTTGTTCATCAAAAATGATGTCTGGATATTTGTTGGTTTCACACTAGAAGCGAAGTCAGTTTCAAGTAAGCTTTTGATTCAAGTGCACTTGAAAATCTTAAGTCGCTCTGTGGAAAACATGGCTTCACACCTGTGGACAAAGTATATCACTTGAAGTAAAAGCTGTGAATCTCTCGGTTCATTAGAATCTTGGAAGCCCTGCACGTACACAGCTATAATACCCGACGGCCGCCCCCTCGGTACATTTGAAAATCAAGATGGCCGCCATTAACGGTAGGACGCGCTATATCTCGACGATCTCACGAAAAAATAGGGGACTGTGGACAGTCTACATTTTACCCCTTCACACTCAAAGTAGGTTTCAAGTCCACTTACATTATACTTGAAGCGCTAGAGTGATTAATCGTGGTGTTAACAGACTTCTTACCTAGAGGCTCTGTCGGCAGTTTTGAAAGTTCTTTCACCATACTCATTTTCTCGGAATCATTTTGTCATCCTCGGAGATTTACCTCACCCCAAACCGCCGTTGGGTCTTTCTCGAGAAATTTAACAAGCCCGCGATAGCGAGCCGTGACTGTAAGGATAAAACAAAATCCTAAAAAGAGGGATGTTTAATTCTCATTTAGTCGACCCCCAACCCCCTGCCCACCCACCCCCCCTTCGCCGGAGCGGTTGCAAATAATGAGAGGGTTGGCCCGGGGGGACCCTTTTTCATCCCATATCGCAGAGGTCAATGGTTTAAATCTCGAATCGCGTACAACGCTGATTTTTTTTTGTTAGATTCCTGCTATAATCTTCGTTTCGTTTAAGTCTTCATCCCACAAGTTTTATCCATGATTTTCATATACCGTAAACTGCTGATTTTAAGCCCTTGGCTTATACATGATCATGGTGAGGGGTTAAAGGAAGCTTATAAACGGAGAGGCTTATGTTCCAGGGGGCTTATAACAGGGAAAGAAAAAGCGCTTCGAAGCAAGCTATAAAAGTTCTGATCAAAAATGTAATTTCTGACGATTGAGAGACATAGATGGGAACGAATTAGTCAGAAATTAATATTCTGACGGCTTGTCTGACGGCACGGTATTTAGGCTCGCTGGTGTTCCTGGGATAGTATCGGGCTATTTATGGTTTTGCCGCGACACTTGTGCCATTCTACGTCAGCTCAGTCCTTCTGATAGTTTTCGTTTTGTTTTGCAAGTTTTCCTTTCCTATATTTTCTTCCGTTACGTCTTCAGATGTTTATGTTGTGGAATAACGTTTCTTATTTCGGTATATTGTTTATGAATTTAGAATTTTGCCATTTGTATAATTAATCTGGGGGTGGTCTATGGTGCTTGCCGTAAGGATCAGTTTGCCGTTTCATATTTTTCTCGGCCGGTGCAGTAGTCTGCCATACAGCCGTTTTTAGTGTCGTCACTCAACGCTCTTCCCACAAACGTGACAACACTAAAAACGCAGGCCTGCTAAAAACTAACCTGAGATCAGGCTAAATTTTCGTTTCGCTTTGTGAATAACATTCCGGCGGGCAAGGCGAAACTTTTAGCGGTGGCCTTTGGAGAGAATGTGTGAGAACCGCTAAAATTTGACCTTATCTCAGGTTAGCTAAAAACGGCTGTGTGGCACTATCGTAGCCTGTGCCAGGCTCTCAGATAGTATAGTGGGAACGTATTAAAACGAGCAAATCGAAAATAAGACGCGCACGACTTGGGAAAGGGGGTTCGCATTTCTTTTTTCTGAACGACTTTCCACCACCATCTCGGAGCCTGGAACAGGCTAGCACTATCGGTGCTGACGAGCGAAAAAGCGGGTCCTTGGAGACTGGTGACAATTGATGCTGTCTAATACTGTCAATCAAAGGTTGACAAGAATGACGTCATTTCGAGCACCCGTCACCCGCTCGATTGGTTTCGCGCGCTTGTGCGACCTGTGCGACCTGGCGTATAGGTTGTTGTGAATGAAGCCGGACGGAGAAGTGATGGCGAGGACGTGTGGAGAAAAAAGCCATCGAAAAGCCTCCGTTCATGTTCACTGTGAATGGACAAAGCAAGAGAAAATTGCTGCGATAGATTTGGGATCTTTTCTCGGCTATTTAAACAGTAAGTACTGTATGGGCCTAGCTTTTTGTACCGAACGTCATGAGCGATCTAGCGCGCTAGCGCTGAGGTGAAAGTTGATGCCAATGCCTTGTTCCCTGCTCTTTTTTGCTTCTTTTGATTAGTTTCTGAGTATTTACCATTTGAGTTGTCCGAATTATTACATATTTAATGTCTGGGTGTCATGGTTTGAACACGAGCTCCCGAGTTTGAGTTTTTTTGATGAATCACGGCCAAGGGTACCGAGCGATGGTTGCTTTTAGATTTAAGAGTGTTTTAGTCCTCCGAACGAAAATCGACCTGTAAAAAATCCGTCGGGCATTAAGGCCCGTTTTAAACGTCGTGCTACTGCCGTGCTGAGCTAAATTGATCGAATTAAATTCGATTCATTTCATAATATATGAACTGAGTTCGGCACGGCAGTAGCGCGACGTTTAAAACGCTTTGCCGTGCTACACGGCAGTGTCTGGACTTGGTTTCAAAACGTGCCCTTTTAGTCGCTTGCGTAAGCAGCAAGACTCATAATCTGCAACGCGTTTTTCGCCCGGGGTGGGGGGGTGTTCGGCTATATAGGTATGTGCCACCCTAAAGGTTATGTTTTTTTTTAGCCATTTTGGTCTGAAATAGGGTATCAATTTTGAC